ATCATATTTCTAGCATTTTATTGTTTGTTGTAAGTTGTAGTTAGTTTGGTTTTAAGTTTAGGATAGGTTTGGAAGCAAAAAGGATGAAGAAACCTGAGTTTTGTGCAAAACCCGGTCGGGTATGGATTTTACCCGGCCGGGTATGAAGTGACAAAGGAAACTGCTGCAAAACTAGCAAATACACGGTCGGGTATTCCATATACCCGGTCGGGTATTCTGTGATTTCGGACCAAAGAACGTGCAGAAGACACAAAAACATGGGAAAATATTTGATTTGGTAAATACCCGGTCGGGTATGTCAAAATACCCGGCCGGGTATCCGGCATTAGGTGTTGAAAACACCTATAAATAGCCTCATTTTCCTTCACATTTGATCATCCTTTCTTCCAATCTCTTTAGCTCAGTTTAGAATAGCATTTCCTTATATTTTTCTAGCTATGTTTAGCCTCCAAATGAGGAGCTAAACTTCCATTCTTGGTTTTGCTCTTGAAGCTTGTTTATTATTAAAGTTGTGAGTTATTTTCTTAACTTCTTCTCTTGATTATTAATTCTTCCCTTAATCTCATTCTATATTAATGTTGGAGGGTTGCTAAGTGACGATTAGTTAACGTTCCGACATTAATTACTACTAGAAACGATCAACGAACCGATGGTTAATCGTTGGTGGTTTCACAAGTAAGTAACTTCGGTTTATTAATGCACGGTCGTGGTTAATAGACTTAAGAGGGATCAATTTTGTTGGTTAAACCGAAACCGTTGTGTTAAGGTTATCAATCTCAATTGATTTCATCAAGGAGTTAAAAAGATTGAATGCTACTATTATATCGGTATAAGGCGTTGTTCTATATTTGATTAATAGTAAGGGTTATTAATGAACGGTCGTTGTTAATAACTACCCTCGATGAATTGGAAATACTCCTCGATTGAGTATTCGAGAGGGGATAAGTTATAGATATAACAAGGATCGACTAAAATATATCAACAAGTGGAAAGTAGCAAAGCCAAGTCCCTTTTATTCTTGAATTAAACACTTATAGGTTGTTCATCTTAGTTCTTAATTAAATTAAATCACTCAAACCAAAACCCCCTTTTTTATTCATTAAGTTCATAGAAAGAGAATTATACCTTTCCCTGTGGATACGAACTCTACTACACTATACTACGTATAAGTGTTTAGTATTGAATTTATTTTGACGCACCTTGACAAAAGTGCTCGTCATGTTAATATATAATATTCTATTATAAATTGTTTGAATTATTGTGAACGGACAATACTGAAATTATTACTTTCAATCTCCTAATAAGAATTCTAAGTAAACTCCTTTTACATATAATTTTGACACACTTTATATAAAGATTCATTTTTTATCCGTTTCTTCAAATCTTCTTTATCCATATAAAAATTTCCCCTTCTTTTCTCTTTCTTCTTTTTTCATCTTCATCTTCATCATCTTTCCTTCCTCCTTATCTTTTCCCCCCTTCGATTCATATTCAATCTTCTTCATCATCTTCACTCTTATCATCTTCGAGAACCGAAAAAGAAAATAAAATTTGAAAGTCGCTGAAAAATCAGAGATGAGCATTCACCATAATCTTTGTCGATCTGCATGGTCTAAAAACATTATCTATATCGTGTTGAATAATTACATATTTTTTCTATAGAGAAATTGAAACAAAAAACTAGTAATGTTTTGTAAAATTTCGCTATAGACAAAACAATATTTATATATAGACACATACAAAAGAACTGGTGAAGTGTTGCCATAATTATTGTCTATATCGTTTAAAAAAAATTGTACAGCCCAAAATACTAAGAATATTTGTCCATGTGAGAACATATAAATTGAAAAATTAGAAATGTTGATGCACAAACATCAATGTTTGTGGAACAGAAACAAATGGCATTTCTGTATTGTTAATTACATTTCTATTTATTTCTTTGAGTAAATTAAACATTACGAAAAAATACTATTAGAATTGTTATTTCTGTTTATTGTATACTACCCTAAGTAGTTGAGTCGCCACTTGGTATCAACCCAGTACAGGGTCGAGTAGTGAGTAGGACCAGGGTACTCGGGATTACTCGATGATTACTCGGTCCTATATTAATTAATTTTAAATATATAAAGGGAAAAATAATTAAAATAGCTCAAACTTTGAAGAGGTGTGAGGTAAGCACGGTACCCCAAACTTGAAAATGTAATTTAAATACCCCAAATTTTATATAAAGTTATTTTAGCACCTAGTCATGTATTATTTTTTTCAAAAATGTCAATTTTTTGTGTTAATTTTATAATTTAAAATATTTTAGCGTTCATGAAAATACAATTAACATTCTAAAATTCCATTGAAAAATAAATAGTATTACCCCCCACTCTATATTATTGCATAGTTTTCAATTTGATATTTTAAATTATGCAATTAACATCATAAATTTACATTTTTAAAAGAAATGATACATGACCATGCTGTTAAAATAACATTTTATATAAAGTTTGGGGTATTTAAATTACATATGCAAGTTTGGGGTGTTTATTTCACATTCCTTTATAGTTTGAGGTATTTTAATTATTTTTCCCACATATAAATGTCCGAAATTATAGTAATATATTATTCTTATAATCCGTAGATATGAATAAAGATAATAATAATAATCCTAATGAAGAAGAAATGAGAAAGAAGATAGCGGAGAATAACTTACCGAGAGATGAGGAACTACTGCTAGAATGAGTCGAAGTTTGAAATACTTTTAAACCTAGACTTTTTAAGGTAAATTTCCATTTTTAAAGTGCCTACTCATTATTTATAAATTCCATATATAATATCCTCCTTAATTAAAACTTTTCAGATTCAATAAAAAAAATACTAAAACTAGCCGAGTAACTCGCAGATTCAGAAATTTCCCTCAGTCAACTCACAGAGTACTCGACGAGTACCTCGGAAGAACAAGGTGGGCCGAGTCCAATTACTAAATGTAACGGCCACCTCCCGAGTTGTGAGTAGTCAATTGAGTACTCACCGAGTACATAACACAAATACTACCTCCGTCCCAAAGTTTTTTGCCCATTTAGATTCACATACTTATTAATAAAGAACAAATATTTTTCTCCCCACTTAGATTCACATGCTTATTATAAAGAAGAAATATGTGATTGTGGTTGAGTAGAAAAGGTGAAAAAATATCAACCACACAAACTATTCCATTAAAGGAACTGAATGGGAAGGAAATACAGAACATTCCCAACAGAAAAGGGGAAGAAAATTATGCGATTGAGAGTATTTTCTATTATTTCATACTTTGTACAAACAACACTTTTTTTTATCTGGCTCCAAGTTGTATTCCCCCATTGATGTACTAGTGACGTGCACTTTGTCGTGAGGTGCACTCAAAATAAATACAATACAACACTAATACATAGTATAGTGTAGTAAGGTTCGTATCCACAGGGAAAGGAATACTTTTCTTTTATAAAAATAGTAACAAGGGGAGTTTAGATTTGTTTGGTTTAAAAACACTAAGATAAACAACCTATATGAGTTTAATTCAATGAGATGAGGACTTGGTTTTGCTTTTATCCACTTAATGAAATGTTCGTCGATCCCGGTTATATCTTTAACTATCTTCCTCTCGAACACTCAATCGAGGAGTATATCCAGTTCATCGAGGGTAGTTATTAATAACGAGATGCGTTCATTAATAAAACTTACTATCGAGTCAATATAGAACAAGCGCCGTATATTAACTTGATAGTAGCAATAAACTTAAGATGAAAACGATTGAGATTGATAACCTCAACACAAGCGGTTTATTGGTTCAATCAATATAATTAATTCCCCTTGGCATATAAACCATGAGATGCATGCATTAATAGTCCAAGTTTACTACCGTTGAAAGAACCGGATTAATAACAAGCGTATTAACCGATTGATTCTAGTAATAATTAATATGAGAAACAATACTAGTTGATACTTTAAGTAATGTTTAAGATATTAACATGAAATATGAATAGGAATTAATTAATACTCAAGGAAGAATATTAAAGAATATGAATCCTACTATGATTAATATCAAGATGTTAACTAATTGTCATCTTGGTAACACTCCCCAATATTAACATAGAGGGAGAAATAACTATTACTATAACCAACGTCAAGATGTTAACTAATTGTCATCTTAGTAACACTCCCCAACTTTGATATAGAGATAGTATTTTAAAGGAAGAATTAATATTCAAGGAAGAAGATTAAAGAAAATAACTCACAACTTACAAATTCATTAAGCTTCAAAGTAGCAAAACCAAGATGGAAGAGTTTAGCTCCTCATTTGGAGACTAAATATGATGAAAAATATAAAGAAAGAACTATTCTATACCGAGCTTAGATGTACAAAGGAATTGGATATCTTTTTGTGAAGGAAAGGAGGTGTATTTATAGGCTTTTGGGATGGGATTCGGGTACTCGATCGGGTATATACATGGTACCCGATCGAGTATGTGTGTAATACTCGATCCGAGGTATACTCGACCGGTTTCAGGCTGTTTTCCATAAGTATACCCGATCGGGTATATATTAATACCCGGTCAAGTATGCTTAGAAAATGGTATTCGGACCATACTCGACCGATCTTCGTTTAAAACTCAAAGGCATACCCGATCGGGTATGTCGGTCTACCCGATCGGGTATAGACATTAAATCGTGGCCGAAATCTTCCCGGCATGTTCCCTTGTCTTCGGATCTGATCCGATTTGAAGTTCCAACCTAATACCCGATCGAGTATAGTTAATACTCGACCGAGTATAGACCAAAATTCAGGATCTTCTTTTGTCTTCAAATTTTTTGCACCTTCTTTCCACTCTTTGGGTTCACCAACTGTACTTCGAGTGATCAAGACCTGTTTGAGCTCAGAATATATCTAATCTAACCTATTTACAAGAATTTAACAAACTAATCGATTACACCAAAAGTGTGTAATTTCCATAGTAAAGATCAAGCAAAACTAATTAAAAACACAAACATAAATATGGAAATTACAAACGTATCAACTCCCCCACACTTGAACCTTTACTCGTCTCGAGTAAGATCAAATGTTCACAAGTGTCAAGTTTCTCCAAAATTTCCACAGTTCAACAAAAACAACATACAAACACAAAGACAACCAAGGATGACAAAGAAAAAATGAGTTTAAACTCAAATTACAAAGAACATCTTGGGTTTAATGACCTTCTAGTGTTATATTCTCTTCTCCTCCTCTCTTCTTCTTTGTCTTTGATTTCTGAATCTTCTTATTCTTCACAGAGATACAATGAGTGCCTGCAAAAACAAACATTTCTCTCATATCTCTCATTTTGCCTAGGAGCCTTTTCAGGTTTTCATCCTAGCATCTCTTTTCATTTTCCATTCTCCCCAACTCACTCATTTTTTTTTATATATAAGCCCTTTTTGCTTAGATTGCCCATTTTGTTGGGTTTTCAACCTAACTAGCATTTATTTTCTTTTTTTTTTTTGTGTAAAAGTTCAAATGAATTACATGCATAGTGCTAGGTGGGAAGAAAAATTACATACCATCATGAGTGTCTCCCCCGCACTTGAATCAAGCACTGTCCCTAGTGCCCGCCTTCTCCACCGTAGTAGCTCCCTCCGAAGCCGCTCCCTTGGCCACCATCTCCCATATACGTGTCCCCGCCATTTCCGTCGTCGTACCCTCCACCGCCGGAGCCAGATCCTCCAAAGTTACCCCAATGAGTGGTGTCATACCACGAGGGTGGTGGAGGGGGGTTCGCCATGGTATGGAAGGATCCCTGTTGTGCTATGTAAGAGTACATAGGTCCGTAGAACCTACGTTGGTCTTCCTCATACTGATGTCTATCGGCTTCCCTGAGCTCCTCAAATCGCTGAAAACCGGCTCTTTGCTCCTCCTCTAATCGGTTGAGCCGGTTGTCCATTTGGGCGTATCCCGTAAGCAGTTGTTGTTGACCCTCCAGAAGTTGTTGAAAGAAGTCAGGTGGTGGAGGGTTTTGGCTTTGTTCGGGGATGTCCTGGCCCATGTTTTGATGGTTATGGAGTTGAGCATAGGGCTCGTAATCGGGTTGGTGTTGGGGAGGTTCTTGTTCCGGTTCCTGGAGATGTGGTGGAAGGGCGTGTGGGAAGCGGTAATGTTGCTCCTCTCTTGCTGTTTTGTAGTGGAGTTGGGGGAGTTCTGGGTTGGGCAGGAGGAAGTATTTGAGGGGTTTGGGGTGGATGAGCCAGTTGTACATATTCTTGGGTCTTTCTTCACCATAAAATGTGTGTGAAAAAGATGTACAGTCCGAGTGGCCCAGCCAAGAAATGTTCATCAAACAGTAGTCGGGTATAGGAGAGTTATCCGTATACCCGAACTTGGTGGCCAAGTGCATAATCACCCCACCCACCACAATAGCGCCCTTTGTTACGCTTTCTTTTTTGAGATGTGCCCACATAAGATTACACAGGTTGAAATCCACGTGAACACGGAATAGGGCTACCGACATTAGGCATACATCCCCCATCCTAGTGTGATGGTTGTTGGGACGTCCAAGTAAGGAGTTGGCAAGGAATTTCAAAAATAGGCGGAGGACGGGATGTTGGACATGACTAATATAGAGTTGGGAGGAGCTAAATTTAGTCTCTCCGGTCATCTTTGTCCATAGGGTATGGCCGAAAGCGGTATTGTCGGATATAGATTTTTGGTAAGGGACCGGAATACCAAAGTGTTCGGCGAACTCAAGTTTCGTGATGGAGTGGTTGTGGTTAAACAAGCGAAACTTGAGTTTATCATCCCTAAAATCCTCTTCATCGTTCTCAAATTGCACTGAGCTTATGAATTCATAGATAATTTTTTCATTTGAGTGATATTGCATTTTGAATATCTTATCCATGCTCAACTCATGAAAAAATTTCTTAGTCATTTTGTACACTCCTAATTCATTTAGGGCATCATGGCATAAAAAGCGAGAGGGTTTAACTTGCCTTTAAATGGTGGACATGAAGCGGGTGCGCTGTTCGTTGTCCATGAAGATGATGTCCTCGTAGCCCGGGATGGATGCCCTAGTGTTGGAGCTTTGTCCTTTCTCCTTCCTTGGAGCCATTTTTGAGTGAATTTGGGCTTGAAATCCGAAATTTGAAGGTGGGGGTAGGGTTTTTTCGGACCTCTGAAAACTGGGGGAGAATTGGATTGGTGAGTATGAGTGTGTAGAGGAGGATGAGGGGAGTGTTTTGGTGTTGAAATGGAATGATTTGGTGAAGAAATGGAGGAGATATGGTAGAAAGAAGATGTAAGAATGGAGGTTGGGGGCATTTTGTTCGAATTTGGGTTGGGGATTTTGGGGAAGATGAAGTGTTTGGGGCTGATTTGGGGTTATAATGCCCGTATACCCGATCAAGTATGTGCTGTTACTCGGTCGGGTATGTCTGGAAAGTGGGGTTTTTGAGCAGCCTGCCTCCGGTACTCGATCGGGTATGTGTTGTTACCCGGTCGAGTATTGCTGGAAAATGAAGTTTGTGAGTGGTCTGCCTCCGGTACCCGATCGGGTATCATTCCATACTCGATCGGGTATGTGTTCTTTTCTACGTTTGAGGCATGTACTCGATCGAGTGTGGGAATCAGTTTCCTTCAACTTCAGCATTTCTGTACATACCTGACCGGGTGTATAGTGATACCCGGTCGGGTATCCCTTGTTTTTCAAAAATTGAATGCTTCCTCGATCGAGTAGTGCCCGGTTCCCTTTCTTTTGGCCATACCCGACCGAGTATCAGGTTGTACTCGATCGGGTATGTCCCCAGATGCTCCAAAACCTGCATTTTTTATTTCTTTTCCTCCCAAAACCCGTGATTAGTGCCCTCTCTCACTGATCTCTCAAATAATTAGACAAAAATGAATTATAAACACTTGAATTAATAAAAAAAAACTTGGGTTGCCTCCCAAGAAGCGCCTTAGTTAACGTCGTGGCACGACGTTATTCATTGTTTTTCATTTTTTTAAGTGGGATCGTGAACATCCCTTGATTCATTTTTTGTGGCCTTATTTAGCCATTTTTCAAATTTATTTTTCGGCCTTTTCCAGTAAGGCCGGGGTTTCTTTCTCACTACCACCTCCATCATCGGTGGATTTGGTTCACATTTTATCACATTCCTTCCTATCAAGGATGGCTTCTCGTGTTCATTTTTCTCTTTTTGAAAAAAATCTGATTTTATCCGCTTCTTTGAAAAATACCGGTTCTTGTGGTTCAACAACATGTAAAGAACAAAGAGTTGGATTTTGCATTTGTTTTTTCATAGAGTCCAAGATGTTGAATTCCACTTTTTGATCATCGAACTCTAAAGTTAGTGAACCACTAGAAACGTCAATTTTCGTTTTTGCGGTCTTCATGAACGGTCTACCCAGAAGGATGGGTGTTGTGTGGTCATCAGTTCCCATTTCAAGGACATAGAAGTCAACAGGAAAAGCTATATTTCCTACTTCTATTGCCACATCTTCTATTACACCCTTCGGGTAAGTACTAGAATGATCCGCGAGTTGAATCACTACACCGGTTTGATGTAATGGGCCAAGTTGTAGGGTTTTATAAACAGAATAAGGGATGACATTTATTGATGCCCCTAAATCCAACAAGGCTTTAGGAAATGTGGTGTCTCCTATTTTGCAAGGGATAGTGATAATGCCTGGGTCGTTACATTTTTCGGGGAGTTTTCTCTGAAAAATGGTCGAGACGCGTTCACTAACTCTAACCTCTTGTTTCCCCTTTAATTTATCTTTTCTTTTTGTTTTGCATAATTCTTTTAAAAATTTAGCAAAACGAGGGACATTTTTCATTAAGTTAAGAAGCGGAATGTTTACCTCACACTTTGCGAAGGTTTCATAGATGTCAACATCTTTTTCTAGCTTCTTTGTCTCCTTCAGCGCCTCAGGAAACGGGATTTCTTGTTCATATGATGAGGGTGGGGGGAGCTTGATTTCTGTGATCTCCTCCTCCGGTGGGACTACTTTTTCAGGGTCCACACCCCCAGTCTCTTCATCGTTCTCTTCTACCTCTTTCAACGTTGCCCCACTTCTCAACGTTATAGCATTCACATGTTGTCTCGGGTTTTGCTCCGTTTGAGATGGGAGTTTACCCGAGTCCTTTGTTTCAAGTCGGTTTACGGCATTTGCAATTTGACTGACTTGGCTTTCCAAATTCTGAATGTTGGATTTGGTCTCATGCTGAAATTGAACCATGTTTTGTTGCATGGTTGAGACATTGGAAGTGAGTGCTCGGATCATGTCTTCGGTGGACATACTTGAGCTTGACGTCTGGCCTTGGTGATTTGGGAAAGTTGGTTGCAAGGGCTGATTTTTAGGGTTCCCATATCTCAGATTCGGGTTATCTCTCCACCCAGGATTGTAGGAGTTAGAGTGTGGATCATACCTCTTTTGGCCTTGAAATCCCAAAGCATTGACTTGCTCGGAATTCTCTTCTTGTAGTGTTGGGCAGGAATCGGTGGGGTGCCCCTGTGTTGAGCATATGCCGCAGACCTTGACTTCTTGGTGTTTTGGATTTAAAAGGAAATCCTTTACCAAAGAAGTCAAGTCAGCTACTTGACTTTCCAACGAGATGTTGGATTCCGCTGCCATGACCCGTTTTGATGATGACCTCCCATTGTAGTGTCTAGAATTCTCGGCCAACTCCGAGATGAGGTTCCTAGCTTGGGAAGGGGTTTTGTTGACAATTCCCCCTCCAGATGCTGCGTTCACCAGGCGTCTATCTTGCTCCGCAAGACCGTCATAGAAGTAGAGGATGAGGTCTTGCTCTGTGTAACCATGATATGGGCAGCTAGCACATAATTTTTTAAAACGCTCCCAATATTCATATAATGTCTCATCATCTTTTTGCTCAATGTTGCTTATTTGTTTTTTCAAAGATGATAAGATGGATGCAGGGTAGTACCTTTCTAGGAAGCATTTTTTCATTGATGCCCATGTATCTATACTCCCTGAAGGGAGATAGAATAGTCAATCCTTAGCTGTGTCTTTTAGGGAGAATGGAAAAGCCCTCAACTTGATTTGTTCCTCAGTGACTCCATTTGGACACATGCTTGTGAAAACAATATGGAAATCCGAGAGATGTTTGTTTGGGTCTTCGCCCCTTAGGCCATAGAAAGATGGCAGCAGATGAATGAGCCCAGATTTTAGCTCAAACGTATTACCCTCATCAAGTGTAGGGAAGGTAATACACAGTGGTTGTTGGTTGAGGTTTGGAGCTGTGAGCTCCCTTAGCGTTCTTGTTTCAAGAGCTATTGTGGTTGGCTCTTCGGTGTCGCTAGAACTAGAGCCAGCGGTGTATGAATCTCTCGAAGATGATTCTTCCGAGTCGGTATTAGAAAATTTACTTTTCAACCGCTCGAAAGTTTGTTCTATTTCTGGGTTTTTGTGATATGTGATTTCGTTTATGGAACGATGTTTAACCATAAACTACACAAAGCTCAGAAAATAGAAAAATAAACACTCTTTATATTTTTTGTTTAATATATTTTTTTTTTTTCTTGATATGAAATAAAAGAAAAATTAATTGCATTTCCCCGGCAACGGCACCAAATTTGACGTGCACTTTGTCGTGAGGTGCACTCAAAATAAATACAATACAACACTAATATGTAGTATAGTGTAGTAAGGTTCGTATCCACAGGGATAGGTATACTTTTCTTTTATAAAAACAGTAACAAGGGGGGTTTAGATTTGTTTGGTTTAAAAACACTAAGATAAACAACCTATATGAGTTTAATTCAATGAGATGAGGACTTTGTTTTGCTTTTATCCACTTAATGAAATGTTCGTCGATCCCGGTTATATCTTTAACTATCTTCCTCTCGAATACTCAATCGAGGAGTATATCCAGTTCATCGAGGGTAGTTATTAATAACGAGATGCGTTCATTAATAAAACTTACTATCGAGTCAATATAGAACAAGCGCCGTATATTAACTTGATAGTAGCAATAAACTTAAGATGAAAACGATTGAGATTGATAACCTCAACACAAGCGGTTTATTGGTTCAATCAATATAATTAATTCCCCTTGACATATAAACCATGAGATGCATGCATTAATAGTCCAAGTTTACTACCGTTGAAAGAACCGGATTAATAACAAGCGTATTAACCGATTGATTCTAGTAATAATTAATATGACAAACAATACTAGTTGATACTTTAAGTAATGTTTAAGATATTAACATGAAATATGAATAGGAATTAATTAATACTCAAGGAAAAATATTAAAGAATATGAATCCTACTATGATTAATATCAAGATGTTAACTAATTGTCATCTTGGTAACACTCCCCAATATTAACATAGAGGGAGAAATAACTATTACTATAACCAACGTCAAGATGTTAACTAATTGTCATCTTAGTAACACTCCCCAACTTTGATATAGAGATAGTATTTTAAAGGAAGAATTAATATTCAAGGAAGAAGATTAAAGAAAATAACTCACAACTTACAAATTCATTAAGCTTCAAAGTAGCAAAACCAAGATGGAAGAGTTTAACTCCTCATTTGGAGACTAAATATGATGAAAAATATAAAGAAAGAACTATTCTATACTGAGCTTAGATGTACAAAGGAATTGGATATCTTTTTGTGAAGGAAAGGAGGTGTATTTATAGGCTTTTGGGATGGGATTCGGGTACTCGATCGGGTATATACATGGTACCCGATCGAGTATGTGTGTAATACTCGATCCGAGGTATACTCGACCGGTTTCAGGCTGTTTTCCATAAGTATACCCGATCGGGTATATATTAATACTCGGTCGAGTATGCTTAGAAAATGGTATTCGGACCATACTCGAACGATCTTCGTTTAAAACTCAAAGGCATACCCGATCGGGTATGTCGGTCTACCCGATCGGGTATAGACATTAAATCGTGGCCGAAATCTTCCCGGCATGTTCCCTTGTCTTCGGATCTGATCCGATTTGAGGTTCCAACCTAATACCCGATCGAGTATAGTTAATACTCGACCGAGTATAGACCAAAATTCAGGATCTTCTTTTGTCTTCAAATTTTTGCACCTTCTTTCCACTCTTTGGGTTCACCAACTGTACTTCGAGTGATCAAGACTTGTTTGAGCTCAGAATATATCTAATCTAACCTATTTACAAGAATTTAACAAACTAATCGATTACACCAAAAGTGTGTAATTTCCATAGTAAAGATCAAGCAAAACTAACTAAAAACACAAACATAAATATGAAAATTACAAACGTATCAACTAGTCTCCTGTTTTGAAGTTATGAACTACTCTGTAGTTTACTGCCTCAACGTGGCTCAAAAGTAAGACAATTGAGTTGAGACTGGAATTCCTACCGTTCACGTTATTTTATACGTACAAAATATAAGTCTTCCAGCATCAGAATGTAGGTCTTTCAATATGGATACAGGTCATCTACCTTGAACCAAAGTAATCTAAAACACGAAAAAGTAAATCTAGATTTTACAATCTAAAATCGAACAACGTATGGAAATGGGCAGCTTAGCATAGCAAAAGGCTGCAATCCCTTTCAATAGTAATGCACAATGCCTGCATCGCCACTCCCGGGGAATAGGCACATTCGGTCCTGTTTCAGGTGAGGTAAAGGGGGGACGAAAGGATAAACCAGTTTGGTTGCGGTTTATAAACCTATTTTTTAGAAAATAGAATTAAAATAATCAGAAACGCCAGGTCTGGTTCTTTTTTGAGGAACCAGGACATATTTGGACCAGTTCCAGGCCTGAAACCAATAAGTCAAGTGTTCGGTTTGCTTTTACTAGCCCAGCGCCCCAGACCAAGTACTGTTGTTCCGGAACCAGGTCCACCTCAAGTGGGCATTCTGAAATACGAGTTGCGTTGGGTTTCTATCATAATTATACAAAAATCTTCTTCAGGAATCAAGTCCAAATTATTACAAGAAACAAAGATATACGTCTTTCACTCAAATTACTCTTCAGGTTTACTAAATCAACCGTGTTACGGAGATTAGCTTAAATTTTGAATACATTATGGGCATGCTGAAATACGAGTTGCGTTGGGTTCCTTTTGTAAATATACACAAATCTTCTTTAGGACTCAAGTCCAAATTATTAATAGAAACAAAGATATACGTCTTTCACTCATGTGCATACTTTTCAGGTTTACTAAATCAACCGTGTTACGAAAATTGACTTAAATTTTAAATACATTATGGGCATGCTGAAATACGAGTTGCGTTGGGTTCCTATCGTAAATATACACAAATCTTCTTCAGAACTCAAGTCCAAATTTTGATCGATGAGTATCAATTAGCCAACATTATTAAATGATACTGTGTATTATCTAATCAAAACGAGGGAAACCTAAAGAAAAAGTACAAAGTTTTCCAAATGCATGATATCATTGGAGCATGACCAAATTTATACTATACAATGAACTTAATAACATGAAATATATTTTACATTCCCAGCATAGGTAGTACAGACTTCTTGGTTTTCATATAAAAAAAAACTTATAGCATATCTATCTATACACATATATGAAAAATATAATCAGCACACCACAACCTTGTCTAGATATTTTGACTAAAAATACTGTAGATTTAAATTTCTGAGGGATAATTAAAGTTTTCAGCTCACAACACAATGACATGCTCTTGAACTAATCAATCAGAAAGATGGCAATTCTTTTGTCATATTAAAGAAACAGCCAGAAGGCCCATCTTTGGGAAGCAGTGCTAACCTCACAACATATTCGGCTCCTTGAGCTGCAGTCAAAGGACCAAGATTGTTGGTTATATCAGTCTTGCAAAATCCAGGAGATATGGCATTGACGCGAAAGCTTGGATGAGTTTTTGCCAGGATCCTTGTGTAGGCATTCATACAAGCCTTGGCAACAATATAGGCCGAGACTTGAAGAGGCCAGCCTTTGGTTTCTAGCAAACCCTCCCTGAAATCCTTCAGAAACTGCTTCCCAACTTCATCAACTCTCTCTTCAGAAAGGTGGTTTTCAGGTCGCTCACGAGTAAATTTAAACCAGCCAAGCGGAACAAACTAATTACAACCACTTCAAACAGAACTTCGTAAATTTAAGCGGAATAAGCCGATTTTCGTGTTACCAGACGGGCTCCATATCTATGCCGAAATTTTAAATTATAGAGTAAAAGTGAAGTAAAGTAGTTTACCAAAATATCGAGTTTTCCATACTGGGCTTTGACAAATTCAGCCAAGGAAGCAACGCTGTGAGGATCTACAACATCAAGCTGATGGAAACCCAGTAAGTCATCAGATATGCCACAATCCTTGAGCTTTTGAACAGCCTCAAGGCCCCTTTTTTCATCTCTGGCGGTTAAAAGCACGAAAATCCCACTAGACGCCAGCTGCCTACAGACCTCAAATCCGATCCCCTTATTTGCTCCGGTGACAAGTGCGTACCTGAGATGCAGTATTTAGAACATAATAACTGTGAAGCGAAAGAAAACCTGCGAAAAATAAGCCTAAGGAAACCTCTTTGGCGTGGAAGTAGCGGACGCTTGTGCCATATTCAGTTAGCACGTAACAGTGGGTAGGAGGGGTCATAGGATGGAATATATAGCAGCTAAAACTCATCCAGAAATTGTGAACCCTTAAGGTACAACGATGATTGAGCCTTCCACCCGCACGGGTAGCTCAGTTTGTTCAGTGGTGGGAAATTTGGACCAAGTGACCAAGATTCGAAATCCGCAGCGGCCGTGTGGATGTCACAGAACCTGAAATAAAGCTGCGCCTCTGGTGCGCACGGGAAAAAGGCCTACCATCATTGGACCGACTGAGTCACCGTGATTAACATCCTCCCAAAAATCCTGTCGGGTCGGGGTATGGGGAGCTCCTGGGGTGGGAGATTCCACCTTTTGGACCAAATGATTGAGCCTCGCAAACGGTTGATATTTAGAGGCGCTGAATGCATGTTCACACATAGGGAAAAAGGGCGAAACCACCCCGGAAGTAGTCACCTACCTAAGGGCATCTATGCCCTTAAACTCCTCTTTTGTGCAAAAATCTTTAAAATCTATCAAGAGAGGGCAATCACCCCCTTGTTTTCAAAGGAGTAACTAATTTTGTAACTCAGCTGAAATATATACAATACAAATAAAGAAATTACATATACAAGTAAAAGATATAGGGTTCTATCATAAAAGATCAACATCAATATGATAGGAGAAGTAGTTCAGATCTTAATATATCACTTTATTATTTCACAATTTTCTGGTGTGAGACTTTCCCAAGTACCCAATATAAAGCGATAATGTAATGAAATAATTCCATTAATATTACTTTTTACAATATGGTGGACAAAATTATTACTTAGAGTCCATTTGGTAACATTGAAATCGGTTGACTTGACTGAAATTTATGAAGATCTGGCTGAAGTGGTTGTATTGGCTGATTCTGTTGATTTATGTATATGTTATATTTGAAATATATTTAAAATTTTATATGAATATTACTAAATTAAATTCAAATTACAAAGTTACAGTTTTTGGCCTTTTTCCATGAATATTACTAAATTAAATTGAAATTACAAAAATATGATTTTTTTAAATTTTCCAAAAATGTGACATATTGAGTGATTAGTTTATAGTTACTCGTCATCTACCATGACTTGTCACTCTAAATTACAAAATTACAAAATTAGTTTATGGCCTTTTCCATGAATATTACTAAATTAAATTGAAATTACAAAAATAATTTTCTAAAAATGTGACATATTGAGTGATTAATTTATAGTTACTCGTCATCTACCATGACTTGTCACTCTAAAATACACTATAGTGACTATAGTTCAATTACTCGTACACAGTGACTGGTCATATTTTTATCCAAAACATGACTAATCATGTTCTTATCCGGGAAAACTCTTTTAGTAATGTACATGTGAATTTTTCTTATATTTTGATTTAAATATTTAGAAATATGAATAGACTATATTTTGTGTTGCATAATTTGTATCTTATTTACCACACAAAGCCTGTGTGGTAATTCATAGTTCCAACTTATTAGTCATTTTTTCTTCCAAAAAAAACTCATTAGTCATTTTTTGTCAAACTATTTCAAATCAGCTATTTTAGTATATTTTAGCTGAATTGTATAATAATCAAAATAAGTGAGCATGAAGTTTCTTTTCTGGTAAAAATTGACTCAAATTTTTTTAAGCCAACTATTTTAGCCTTTTCATCTAACCTTTTCTTTATATTACTACATCCGCGCCTTTCCGATGTATCAAAATATAAGAAAAAATAGTTTGATAAAGTAAGAATAAAGCAAAACAAGAATCATTTAGAACTACACAAACTGTACAAAATTTGGTATGAGACAATCTTAATAGGGTGGACTAAAAAGGAAAAATGAGACAATTTTAGCCGGGTAGAGAGTACTTTTTTGTATAATCGTTATTTCATTACTTAGTATCTTTTTATGATTTACTTTTATTTTTAATTGTTTTATCTATATTTTATATATTTTAACTAATTTACGAAATTAATTTAATAAATAAAATTAAAAATACACAATTGACCATTCAAAGGGAAACATTAACTGTTGCAAATCTTTTGAATGAGTTCACCATTAAATAAAGGGGGTGCTTGCCCTCCTTTCATGATTTTTAAAGATTTTTACACAAAAGAAAAGTTTAAAGGTGTAGATGTCCTTTGATGATAACTCTAGGGGTGTTTTTGCCCCTTTTCCCTCACACATACGGAGGAGTAACAGAAGATCGATGAGTGTGCACTGTACATCACAAATAAATAATTAAAATATCTCAAAATTTGTAGGGTGAGACACCCCAAATTTGCATATGTAATTTAAATATCTTAAACTTTATATAAAGAGTTATTTTAACAGCATAGTTAAATATTATCTTTTAAAAATGTAAATTTATGCTGTTAACTATAGAATTTAAAATATTTTAGAATTCTTGAAGACACAATTAACATTTTAACTTCCATTGCGAAATAAATAATGTTACCCTCAGTGCATATAATTGCAACACTTTTAATTTGCTATTTTAAATTATGAAATTAACTCCGTAAATTTACATTTTTGAAAGAAATACGGAGTAATACATAACAATAGTGCGAAAATAAATTTTTATATAGAGTTTGGGGTATTTAAATTACATATGCAAGTTTGTGATGCTTAACTCACACCACTTCAAAGTTTAGGTTATTTTTATTATTTTTCCCAATAAATAATGTTTTCGTACCTATATTTAGGGGTGGGCACCCGAAGGAACGAGACGAACAGGACGTGAATTAGACTATCTGATAAGACATCGTCCTGCTGTTGTCTCTTTTAAATCGGTATAGACAGTTAGGGACGGTCCGGGACATCCAAAAAAATGCAGAGAGAAAAACTCAAAGTGATTTGCAAAATTAAATACTCTGTAGCATATAAGAACTTGATGACAAAAAACTACAACACTAAAAATACAACACAAAGGAATTCAAGATAAATGCAACACAAAAATATATTCAGTAGTAGATTAATAGGATAGTTGCAAGGTACAAACTCTATATAACAACAACTTCAAACACACACAAAACTATCAAAAATCTGTAAAACTAAAAATTTCTAAAACAATATTATTATGAGTGAAATATGTGGGAGTGTTGGGATATTGGACCGAAGGCCCAATACTCGGGCCAAAGGCCCAAAATATTCAGTCCAATAAATAGCCCGGAATCGAGAAGAAGAACAGGTCCAGTGAGATATATGCCCCGAATGGGGATCAGATCAACCAGTGTACTTGGGCCAGATCAAGGATGTTTCCAGCATGATCCATCACCCCGTTCGAGCAACGGATGGCTGACAAGTGGCAAGGAGCATTTATTGCTACTAAGTGACCTCAGCAAGTGGGAGTATGAGCATTCAAGTGGCTGGATTAACAACCAATCAGCATGAAGCACATCATACCCCCCATTAGTATAAATAGAGGGATTAATCTCATTGTAAAGGGTTAGCATTTTGATACTCAAGATCTAGAATAGCTTTCTCATTCTTGTAATTGTATTAATTACTATTCCGACGTACCATTCGGAAAGTTTCCTGTGTAATCAGCGAATTGCTTAATACAAGAGGGCTTTTGAGTATATTATCATTCAACTTTTATATATTTTCTTATACCCTCAATTTATTATCCACATCCTAAAATATCCAAAGCGTGTGTTGGGCTTTCGGATCTGCGGGACTTAACCTCAACATTGGCGCCGTCTGTGGGATACTTGAACAAAAAGTTTCAAAACCAACCATGTCACGCCCCGGACCTACCCGGACACGTCAACAACTCGCCGTACAGAACGAATAGTCAACCGCAGTCCAACTCATCCATACTATACAAGGCGTCTTGAATACCATTCACACATAGTACATCCATAAAAAAAAACATAATGTAAAATCTTCATTTAAAGCAGCGGAAACATTTAATACAAGTGTTCAAGCCACACTTGGCATAATTAGGCATACAAGCCCCCAAAACAATTATCCAAAAATAATATCCATGAGCATTATATAAGTGGTTTTAAAAAAACGGAAGAAGCACGAACCACGTCTTCTCTCCTTGACCTTCCCGAAGCAACGGCGATGGTAGCAACCTTCAAGTTCTACCTGAAATTGTGAGGTGGCCTCCCCTGTGAAGGGGAGGTCAGTACTTGGAAGCATTTAACAAGTACAATGACAACTATACCGAGTATAATCAACGCTTTAATTTCTAAGACCCTCAAAATAGGGTGATATCATAATATAAATAATAATTTATATTTCCCACTTATTATCTCTATAATAAGTAAATTCATTTATTTGTCGGCATACGGCCCTTCTCGTATATTCTTTTGCATTATCATTTGTACAACCCAACCCGTGAGTCTTATTATTTCTACGGGATTTGATACCGTTGTCCGAGACGTCACGAGGTCCTCGGTTCGGACTTCAACATCCCGCCCCTGGACTCATACCCATCATCCCGTAGGAAGGTAAGGCCCTTCGGGGTCCTATCTTATGTGTTACCGCTACCGGAGCCTAGTTAGGTCTCCTATTCGGATTCCACCCTAACCCGTGATCACGATGCAAGTCCATGTTATCCAATCCCGCTCTCTAGAGTCGGGAAGGGCCATGATCCTTACTTATTCCCATAACTCAACCGGCTATCCTCAAGGACTACCGAACATGCCTGTAGGCCAATCCTATACCTAGGATCAATTTATTATTCAATTTACCTTGGGTATCCCTTAAGGCTTGCCCCTAGTATTACTTAAAGTTCATACTTTCCTACCTTAAAGCATCTCTTAAGACTACTTAAGGCATAATACTTCACAATCCAACCTTAGGATCAATTTTAGCAAGATTTCACCTTAATATCCAACTAGTATATCAATACTAGTCCAATTAATTCCAACAAAACCAGGTTCTCTATTCATGGTCATTTATAGAATGCCCCACTGATTTTCCATTGAAAATATCATCATTATACCAATATACAAAATATCACTTTTAATCATTCATATATTCTTATATGAAGTAAAAAGTATATTTCATAAATAGAGGGATTAATCTCATTGTAAAGGGTTAGCATTTTGATACTCA